GCTCCATTACAGTCATATATTGAGGACTACCTGTTCTTCAGGTTAAGATTCAGCCAATCTGGACCAAAAATCCTGCAGTAAAACATGGAAAACAGACATCTTTCACAGACCTTTCCAAATCTCCCGAAGGGCTGGACAATGTTAGGGGGGTTTGGATGCATTATGTGCTAGAGTCAGACCTGAGAACTTTGTTTGGACTTAGATTATTCGAAGAGCTGCTTTGTGCAGCTTAAATAAATTTAAAATAGTGTTTTGGGTCTGTTCAGTAGTCATTCTGTTTCTTTGAATAACATCTAATAACATCTTGTCACTGTTGAGAAGGATTTATTTGTCTTAGTCTTCATTTGATTAATTTTTAGCATCCTAAGCTTTTAGCAGAAATTTATCTTCTGCACCCTTATGTTAAGTATGCTTATATTGAATAATAATTATTCTTTATTTTTTATGTGATATTTCAAAGGCAAACTCGGTGACCTTTTTAACTATAGAAGAGGCTAGAAAACTAAAAAAAAAAAACAAAAAACACCAACCAGTACTTTTGCTAAATATAAAGGTGAGAAGATTTCTGAAATGACAATCAGTGTAATAGCTATGTGGCCCTCACATCTTTTAACATTTCACTGATGAAATTGTGGGCAGAATATTGCTTCCCAATGAAAGCAGAAGCATTTTTCTGGATCAGATACAAAGTAATTTCCACAAATTGCATTTCCAAATTAGCTTTATAAAATAAAAACCACTGGACTTTTAACAATGTATTCATTAAGTGCCAATTTTAGGATTTGAATGAAAAAAACTGCCTGGCAATGCGACAAATAATCTTCACAGTAGGTAAATGGAATAATTTTGTCTTTTAAATTGATGTATAAAATGTACTAAATTTGAGTATATTTGTATGTGTACACATAACGGTTTTTTTTTTTTTTTGGGCAACCTGAGTTTGTAATAGTACACTGTATATTGTATTTGGAGGATTAACTTTAGTACCATGCCAGTTGACTATTGCCAATCCTTAACCAACTTTAGAGAGCATAGAGCATTTGCCCTGGCTAGGAGTGTGATGTGATGTGGTGTGGTGTGGTGGTGATGTTATTTGTTTGTTTGTTTGTTTGTTTGTTTGTTTGTTTATTTCCCACTCATAGCCAACTCTGGGCAGCTTCCAATCAAAAGTTAAAACAGCATAAAAGCCATATTAAAACTATAAAACAAACACGTTAAAAACAAGCAAAACCTGATATGAAGTCAAGCTTCTGATGTGCAGTCACCTAATCTTATCTGAGAGCTTCTTTTCCTCCAATCCAGTGCTGGATTTTCTTCTGCACATGGAGGGGAAGGACTGTAAAAAGAAAGCTTGGATCTTCATGATCCAAGTCATTTTTTTCCAGCTTGTCACTGGATTTCCCTTCTATGCATGGAGTAAAGGGGAATTCCTGTAGCAAACTGGTGACAAGAAGTTCAGATCTTCCTTTCTCCAATCCCCGCTGGAGTTCCCTTCTTAACACACAGAGGGAGATGCATGCCCTCCATTTAATGAATGGTCTATGCAATCACTTAAAAACTGCAATTGAAAGAGATGGGATATTGGGTTTTGAGTAAAGCAATAACGTGGGCATCTTTCTTTTCTTTTTCTTTTTCTTATTAAAAGTTTTACAATTTTACAATAATATCCCTCACCCACAACCTCCCAGCCTTCCCAAAACCCCCCCCCCTCTTCTCAGAGCTGAATACAGGGTTAACAAGAACTAAAAATACAAAACATTTAAACTTAAGTAAACCTAAAACAAAAATTACATTAATAAAAGAAAAAAGAGAATCCTATATATATATATATAATAAAAAAATCCAATATATATATATATATATAATAAAAAATACTTATTGTCTTAAACTTTAAACTTTAAACATAAATTATTCAAAAGCTAAATAATATCTTTTAATATCATACTTATACTGTTTAAAGTTTATCCATCTTTTCCACACCAAAAGGTATTTCTCTTGCGATTGATCTTTCAGATAAGCAGAAATTTTTGCCATTTCAGATAAATAAGAAACTTTAAAAAAACCATTCCTCCAGGGTAGGCAAAAATTCCTGCTTCCAATATTGTCCTATCAATAACCTTGCCGCTGTAATTAAATTTAACATTAAAATAATTTCTTTATCATTACAATCAACAATAATACCTAACAAAAACAATTGTGGAGTAAATTTTATCCTTCTCTTAAAATTTTTTTGAATATTCCACCATATCTTTATCCAAAAAGCTTTTATACTTTTACATGACCACCAAATATGATAATACGTTGCGTCCAAACAACCACATCTCCAACATTTAGGTTGCAAATTTGAATACATACGAGACATCTTTTGTGGATCAAGGTGCGATCTATAAAACATTTTATAAAAATTTTCCCGTAAATTTTGAGCTTGCGTAAATTTAACATTCCGCACCCAAATTATCTCCCATGTTTCTAATAAAACCGGCTCATCAAAATTTTGAGCCCATTTACCATACAATCTTTAACTAATTCTGTTTCTGAATCCAACTCCACTAATACTTCATAAATTCTTTTTATATAAGATCGACTTTGATCTTTAATTTGTTTCCACAAATTTTCATCCTCTCTAATCAAACCCACTTTATAATCTATCTTCCACCTTTCCAATAATTGTCTATACTGAAACCATGAATAAATAATATTTTCTTGTGCTAATTCATCTATATGTTTTAGTTGCCAATTCTTCCCATCCCAATTAAGTAATTGTTTATAAGAAATACTGTCCATCTTCATTCCTTTCCTTATTCCTTCTATTGCATGCCCCGGAATAGCCCATAATGGGATTCTTGAATCTATTCTACAATATTTCTTCCATACTCGAAGTAAAGAAATTCTTAAAATATGAGACTTAAAAGCCCTATCCACCTTCTTATTATAAATTAAATAGGCATGCCATCCATATAATAAATCCCACCCCTCCAAAAGGAGTATATCTACATTTGTTAAATTAATCCAATCATTAACCAGTGTTAATACCACAGAATCATAATACAATTTGAAATTTGGTACCTTGAGTAAGGTGGGCATCTTTCTTATTGATCGCAATGACTTATGACTGAAATTCTGGACTCATTTATGGTTGTAAGGACTGTCAATAATAATGGTAATAATAATAATATAGACATAGCAATAGAATAAAATATATGAGTTATTCACATATCACTTTTATTTTTGTTTTTACAAAAATAAAACATACCCCCATGCTTACAGGGATATATAAAAAAGAGAAGGATAATATATTCATTGTTCTTTTTAACACTGGACTTCATTCATTGACTTGAGAATTCATCAGCATTCAGGAGATTTAAAACTATTGATTTTCTATATGTGCCCAATATCTGACAATATCTATCTGTTCCTTTGAATCCTGTACTCCCACTCTGGGATATTAGGAAGACCGAGTAAAGGTATCACAAAAACTATACAAGTTTCTTTTATCTGAATCGTTTAGTAAATTTTCTACTGTCTTCAGAACACAAGAAATTGAGTGTACATAGTCTCATAATGTTTTGTATGGAATTCTATTTTCATATTTTTGGCACAGTGCAATAATTAGATATTTTTGTGCGGGGTAAATGGTTCTGAAAAGCAATAAGCCTTAAATTTGCCAAATGTCAGATTGACCAACACTGTTTAGCAGGTGGTGGCTAGCACCTTTATTGTAGGGCTGTACAATGCTTACATTTAAATTATAACAGATCCTTCAGAATGTTTGGGAAATGCAAATGCGACTCTTATCTCCAATTCATGAAAGCAGTTGCGATTTTTTTTTCTGGGGTTGTGCAACAATAACTTGGATTTTTTTTTTTTTTAAAGAAAGCTGAGATTTACAAAGAAATGCTGTTTTTGTACTACTAGCACTGCACAATATGAAGCACCTCTTTCAAATGGAATCCAAAGCATTGCACATATCAAGGCCAGGATCAAGGTGCCAGCTCAAGATTTCACAGGAATGTTTTTTTTCAGGTGGGGTGATCTGGTGAAACCTATTATTATCTCAGCAAATCTGAGAGAGTTGACAGGCATATGACTGCATGTGGGTTTTTTGGTTTATTTGTTCCTTCTGTTCAAATTGCTCTTTGATTGACAACCTCTATAACAAGAAGAGCATTGGGCTGTCCTTAAAATATAGTTGGAGAAAGAGAAGTTTTTTTAAGCTTTCAATGTCATTAGCAACTTCTACTTTTCATCTTCCTTATTCAAATGTAAACAATTCCTATAGATAGATAGTGTCAGCACTGTGACAATGGATGTCGTTGCTCTGACAACTGAAAAACCAGCAGCCATTTTTTTTCTTGCTTTTAACATGCCTTTTCTATTCTTTCAGAGTTCAGATATAGAAGGGGGGACGGGGTAAATGCCTGAAGGTTTAGCTAGCCATAACAATGTAGAAGTGTGGGAACTTAAGGATGTGTTCTGATAAGCTTTTGGCAGGCTGAGGGGCCCAGAGAGAAAAGCCCATGTTTTGTGCTAATTGGTGGATGTGATTTATGACAGCTCTTGTGGGGTGGGAATTGCAGTTTGTTATTTTGTATCTGGGAAGAGAGAATCTCATTCTTGGGCTCAACTATGTAAGTGCCAATACTTAGTTTCCTAATAAAATGTTCTTTAAAGAAGAAATCTTGCCTTGAAGTTCTTTTAACTGGTTTCATTTATCGGAACCATGACCAATAGTATTAAACATGTCATTGAATATTTGACTACAATCTACTGTCCTTTTTATGCAAGCATTGCCAAAGGTTCCTAATATTTTTATTTTCAAATTAGCTTTTTGCAACCATCAATATATATATATATACTTATATACTTATACATATACTTATTGTTATTAGGCATGCATATATATATATATATATATATATATATATATATATATATATATATATGCATGCCTAATAACAATAAGTATTATGTTTGTGAAATAAGCACTTAGCATTGCCCACAGTTGGCAATGGAAACACTATTGTTAGGTGAAGCAATTGCTAAGTGGAAAATCACACAACATAAGTGTGTTTTCCTTTTCCCTTGGAATGCTTACCACAGTACTGGAAAATTAGTAAGAAATGAATGGATGTTTATATTTACATTCACTAGAGAAAAAGGGATTATGAAACAGTCACCAGGCACATATTAGGGGATACACTGGGCTGCTTGTATAGCATTCTTGGAACTTCTGGTGTGACCACATTCCTTTCCATTCACCTTGTGTGCCTGCTGACTCTTGTAATCCCTTCCTCTTCAATTTCTCTCCTCTGCAAGACAAGAAAAAAAATAAGGAAAACAACAAATTAGGCACAGGACAATGCATACTGATTAAAATAGTGACTACATGACTGAAAGACAATACTACAAGGATTATAAATGTGTGTCTTGATCATAAAATTGTTTCAGCACATAAATGTATTTTTTCAGTTTAATTGTCACTGAAGGCAATAAGTAAATGAAGTCTACCTATATTTTCCCCTCTTTATGTCCAGAACAAATTGGGAACAAATAGAACTTGGGAGACATAAACTTAACCTGCTAGAAGAGAAATCACGATATTTGAATTTAAATATCCATGAAACAAGAATAAAAACTTTCCAAGTCATTCCTCCTGCAGAAGTAATAGTGTACACAATGTTTCTTTAGACTGTTCCATTAAAAGAGACACAGATAGAGAGAGGAAATGTGTGTGTATATCTGTGTGGGTGTACTTTAAATGGTGCTGTTTTGATTGTAGCAATCTTAATTGTTTTTCCTTTCTTGTACCCTCTCCCCCCAGCTCTGTCCAAACATAAAAGATTATACAATGTTTTGCAGAGATAAAGCTCACGAAAATGCTGCCTATGGGCAAGATGTGCTAGTTGGATTGCATATGAGTAGAGTGCAAGAAAAAGTAACCATTCCCTTGTTATAGGTACCACATGTAGGCAAGATGATGAGTATTCTCACTCTCTTTGCATATGTACTTCTTAGATTACAAGAAGTAAGCAATATCTTGGCTTGCAAGATGGTCTCTAGTTTAGGATCCCAACTTGCACAGAAAAGGGTAAGCATAAAACTAGACTTGGAATACACCTTTGATTACCACAAAAGTGTCAAAAATGACTGATAGATTGTTAGCAGGGCATGCTGCATGTAGTCCAGTAAAAACTAAGGCTGTTAATTTAGTCTATTTTCTTTTGTTACAAGAAGCATTATTTCTATCTGGGGACAATCCTAGCATATGGAAGATGGTGTCTAGGAAGAAGAATATAAGGTAAAGATGGGGAATTAAGAAATGAAATAAAGGAAATAAAAATGGGTATTTTTGAGGTTTTTACAGTATAACTAAAGCAAAGACAAAGAATGTAATCAGAAGAGGGACTGGACTATTCAGAGAACAAGTAATGCATGGAATGATGATTGGTATTTGTTAGAAAAATGTCCTATCAAACACATGATTTAAACAAATCAGTCTGGTTTTGGATCAATGTGCTATGTGTCCAAGCCCCTTAGGAATGTGACATCTGCTTACACCTTTAACCAAGGCATCTCCTTTGGTAGCAAGATGTTCCCATCCACCTAAATTTTTAAATGATCATATCTGTTAGTCTATTTCTTTATCTCTACTCACAGGCATCCTTTTATTGCTTTGCTAATCTCCTTTGGGTCTCACCAAGGGATCTACAGAGCACCTTCCATTACTAGAAGTGCTTTTTGGCTCTGATCATCATGGTAGCTGTTGTGTCCTGAGCCTGCAGAGGCAGACTCAGGACGTTGCAACAGTCCCGGGCAGTTGCAAGCTGCCCGGGAACAGACTGGCTGGCGCCAGCACTCGCACGCATGTGTGAAGTGCAAAGCGCGCCAAATGTTGCCGTTTGGCCCGGGGATTGTCTTTAAGAGGAGGAGAGAGGCTTGTGTGCCTCGGCCGTTGTAACAGAGCTGCTAGACATCAATAAAGAGGCTCCTGAGAACTACCAAATGATTCCTGAAGTTATTGCCTTTCACTGAGGACTCAACACTAGCTATTTTTATCTGCTCTGCTAACCATTTTTTTTGTGTGCTTTCAAATGTGCTCCTGATGAGAAAGCTTGCCTACCCCATCTTGCAGCTTATTCAACAAATGATAGTTAACAAAATAATGTTCTAGTAAAAGTATGATCCAAGCCTCAGGCTAGCCTTGTGCAGACTTCCCTTAACTTTCTTATATGGACTTTATTAGTTATTTAATAACTATTTTACTAGTGTGAAGCAGAAATACATTTCCTCTGTGATAGGCAGAAGCCTATAAAGCACCGGTTGCCCAAAGGCCTTAAATCTAGCAGGAACCTTGCTCAATTTGCTTGACATCATTTCATTAATTACAGAAGAAAATTGGATCAGGCCTTAAGTTGCCACCTAAATGTCTTATTAATATTTCAGGATTAGATAGCAAAGTGAGACGGTTGTATAAATGATATCTTCTAATTTTCTAAACTATGGTGCATGTCAGTTTTCAAACCTGAGATGCATAATGATTTTTTTTCATGGCAAGGCAGACTGAGAATTACAGCAGGTAATTCACAGTGGAAAGGAACAGTATAGTTTGTAATATAAAGTTTTACTTGCGGAGAATAAGGGATAAAGGAAATCAGAATCGTGAGGGGGGAAAAATAAGGGAGAACCATCTGTAGTATTTTCTCAATAGTAATAGCTAAATCCTGTATGCTACTTTCATACAAAGTGTTTTGTGTGCATTATCTTCTTGCAGACATTATAACTGAGCATTGCCAGTGCTAAAACTTAAGTTAAAGTGGTGCTCATGATATGTAAGAGATTAAAACTGGATATTCCTGTATTCATCGCTTAGTCCTTCGTGTTAAAAATATTTGTATGATGATCAGACAGGATTTTGTTTTGAGATTGTTTTTTGTATGTTTATATCCTAATACAAAATCTGAATTTTGAACTTAATCTTACTTTACTTATTTCAAGCTGGATCAACTGGGAGTGGGTTTCTCTTCCAGAGGACTCAGGGCAGGATGAATGGCTAATGGTCAAGGACAGGAGTTTTTTTTCCAGAGGTTTATTTTCTTCTTTTTCTCAGAAAACTTCTTGGGATATCTGCATGACCACATAGCATCATGTAGAAGAAGAAAAATAATAAAAGATTTATAGAAAAAAAGATTTTTTTTTTAAAAAAATCATATGATGGAAGTACAAAAAAACAGAACTTGTGTCAGAGTAATGGCTATCATGGGGAAACAAAGCAAAAATACAGCAGTTGGTTTGTAATATAAGCAGAAAAGACCTTCCAGGGAAGAAGCAGGGAAAGGATGCTTAAAGGTTTATTTCGGTATCAAGCAATAATCACGTTTTTTAAAATTGATTATGTGCCATCAATTCAGTGTCAACTCATAGATAAATCTTCTCCAAGATGATCTTTCTGTAGCTTGGCTCTTCAGATCTTCTGGTGGTGTACTCCTTGTCTCTGTAATTAAATCCATTCACATTGCTGCTTGCTTCTCTTTTTCTCTTTCCTTCGGCTTTTCCCAGAGCTATAAATTCCTAAAACACCATGTATTCAGATTCAACTCTGTAAAGAGGAGAAGCAAACTTACCAGCATACATTCAATCATTTCAGATAGGGACATCTTTTTTTCTGTTGTAGGTCATATTCCCCCATGGCAATCTCTTGGAACCTGAATGTAAATGGTAAACAGGACGGAATTAAGTAGGAGCCGCAATATAGTTGAAGACTTTGTGACACTTGCTTCCCTCCCTGCCCAACAGGAGGCCACATGGGAAAAAATAGATTAGTCCTGTTAGTTGTCTCAAATGCATGTAAGATACTTTTGAGAGTAGCCATCAAGCTTCTTTGGTTAACAGAATGTCCTTTCATATAGTTGTGTCTCTCCTGTTGGTGAAACTTTAAAAAATTGGAAAGGGAAATATTGACAAAGATACTAAAGACTCAGAGGGTATTAAAGGCCATATTAAGTTGTCCTGGAGCAATATGTGGCCCATGATCTATTGGTTGTTTCTCCATGAAAGAATCTTAATTGGTTGTCTCAGATACCATTCCTATCCCTCTTAAGGAGATTACTATGTCAGTCAAAATGCAATTATAATTTAGAAAATATAAATGAATTTTTTATTTTTTATGCTATAAATTATCAAAGAAGATTTTCAGGATGGGAGCATTAAAAAATGCTATATAAAGGCAAACTCTTCGGGAGATTTTAAGTAAAAATCTTACTTTGCTGTAGGAGTAGTCCAGAACATAACAACACTACCCTTCCCAAATAATTAAAATAGCATTAAGCAAAATTTAATTTCTCTGTGAAATTGGAATATAAATAGGATTCATATTGTTTCTGTGTACATTTGTGGAAATATTCATTTACGGGAAGACGGATAATTAGGCTTGATAAAAGAATTGCATTCATTTTTTACATTTGTTGACTACTGCTTACCCCCAACCCAAATTCTGGCAAATATCTCTTTGCAATGAAGACAGTTATTTATTTAATAAGAATGGATTTTTTTCTCACCTCCTTTGGTAGAACTACAAAATTCCCATATTTTCTCAAGAAAATTTAAATTGTTTAAACTCCATAATCTGTTCCAATCTCTTCCTCACAGCAAACACAAGTTAGCAAAGGCCCAAAGTCATCTAGTGAACTTCATATCTAAGAAACTATATGAAGCTGAATGTCTTCATCTGATATAGGATAATACATAATCTTAAATTGCTTGCTATTTCAAGAAGTACTGAAATTTCAACCAAAGTCACATTATGTCTTCCATTAAAAAAAAAAAAAATCCAAAATCAATCCAGGGTAGCTCTTCACAACAGTGAAATCAAGGATTACGTGTCCATTCTAATTGCAGTTGTCCTGACATTTGGATATAGCTCTGACAAAGCAAAACAAAAGGGATGAGAATTAATTCACCTCAAGTATGCATTAGTGAGTTAAAATAAAATTATTGCATTAATTAACTTTTATGAAGAATGAATTCTTCTTTTGTTTTAAATGCAACCTTTCATATTGCAGAGTTTAGAACTATGTATATTTTAAGTCTTTTTTTTTTTCAGAAAAAGCAGTAAAATTGCAATGCCAAGAAACTCCAAATCCTGCTTTTAATTAAATTAAATTTTGTTATAGGAAGACAGTGGAATTTGAACTGTGCAGCTATTTAGCCGATTCCAAACTAGTTACCAAGAATGTTCTTTGCCAACATAAATATCGTGTAAGATTTTGCTTTCCCATATGGGTGGATGCTAATTTTAATGAAGTTATTTGGACAATATAATTATGTTAATATGAAAATAAATTCATTTTCATTCAAGCTACTAATACTATTTCATTATTTAGTTCAATTTTAGAAACAAAAAACATGAAACTTCATAAAGCATCTTCTTCTTTTATCCCTATTTCCACTGAAATTTCTCATAATATCACCAGTTTTCTTATAAATGGGCCGGAAAAAGATTTGGCAAGAGAAGCAAGTATTACAGCATCTGTTCCAAAAAAGATGAGTGGAATAAAATGTCAGGTAGGAATTTGGATTCTTTTTTTTTTTAATGGACCACCCTAGATTCCAATCCTTTCATAGTTTGTATTAGTTTGTCTGAGACAGAACAAAATTGAAAGGGGTTATGAACACACAAAAAAGATTTCACATGCAACAGCTTTTTCATTACTTTTAATACCAAATAATCTTGTACCTACAAATGAATGTGGATTCTCTTATGAATAGAATTTGGGCTTCAGATACACATTTGAAATATAGTTTGGTATTGTGAAATCTACTTGAAGAAAGCCTTGTATTTGGAATAAGGACAGGATTTTCATAATCTTTTTATTTTGAGTGAGTTGAGTTACCTTTTAAAAACAATATTTCTCATACTTGGCAACTTTAAGTTGTGTGGACTTCAACTTCCAGAATTCTCTCCTGGCTGGGAAATTCTGAGAGCTGAGCTACACACATCTTAAAGTTACTAAGTTTGAGAAACACTGTTATAGACCATAGATCTGTATAGGTGCTGTAGCTGTCTCAGTGAAGTACTTGGTGTCAACTCACCTTCTCTTAGCTGCCTCTGTCATTTGTAAGAGCTGAAAAAGGCTTCTGTGAAGGGGCCATACATGTGCACAAATCTTTTTACTTTTCGTAAGTGCTGGAGAACTTCAACAGAAGAAGGAAGCAGAGGCTATGAAGAGAACACTGTCTTGCAGCCCCTTCCCAAGGGTTGTCCAGCACTGACAAAAACTGGAGTAGGCTTTGCAAAATACTGCAAGGTGAAGCAAAACAACATGAGTGAATCTATCTTTGCTCTTAAAAATGTAAAAGCTAAATTGCTTAAACTTTTACTAAAAGACAAATAAAGATTTGGACAGTTCTAAAATCTAATCCACAATTAATCTACAATGTTTGAAATCCTTGATGCAATACTTGTCTATGTCAAGACAGCATTGGTCAAAGTGACAAACAATTCATTAAGGACACTTTGTGCCTATTTTGAAGATCAAAAAACAAGCTTTGGAACTTGGATTATCCCAAATCTAGTCCAGTCCAGATTCAACTAACTAAATTTGCTTCCTGCAAAGCAAAAAAAATCTGTGGTGCTACTATAGCAGAATCAAAATATGATTCTAGTTTTTCTTATCCTACTGAAACAAGATTCTTTGTTCAAGCTAAATCTTATTTGCCCCTTTCTTAATTAAGCAGCTATTGGCTACTTAATATTCCTGAAATGAAAATTATATTAAAAAAAACCTGTGTTTAAATAATAAATGTATTCTGACTGTGTAATAGTGGAATAAAATAATTTCAGCCATTCACTCCAGGGTAAGAAATCATTATGAAAGTCATTTTAAAAGAGTGTAATTTACACATGCCTCCAGCTGTGGCTGTCGCAGAGAAACAGTATATGAAGTCCCAGTGAAGCAGTATATTCTATAGGTTACAAAAAAGACAAATCCTAGAATAATATTCTCTTTTCTTTGTTCAACAGTGAACAAAATAACAACAACAAGCTATCATTATCGACCCAAAACATTATAGTTTGGAGAGAGGAAAAAAAATTTGGAGGAAAAAAAAGCTTTTTAGAAGACAGCTAGTAAATCATCCCAGGCCAATGAGTGGGCAGGATACAGTAGTTCTGACAAAAAGCTGAAATCTTGGCAGGCTATGTTAACAAAATGGGCCTATAGTCCACTTTAATTTAAGCATGGAGAAAGAAAAAAATGGTTCCAAAATTATTTTGTTTTTCTTCTACAATCTTCTTTTTAAAGAAGTCAGGTCCGCACCTGTGGACTAACATAGGGAAACACAGAAGAACAGGTTTCTTCAAACAAAGCATTAAAATTGCAGTGAATGAATGAATCTGATCCCAAATCCAACGTGAGGGGCCTATTACTGAAAGTAAATGACATGCCATGGTTAATTTTATTTAAGAGCCGATGATGTCTTATCACATATTCATGGACAGATAAAGCAAATGTTTTGTGCCGTTGCAACCTAGCACTGAAATAATCTTTGGAACAGAAAGCTGCAATAGGTTTAATTTGTTTCTTGATTTCAAACTGTTTTTTGATTAGTTGTTTTAGATTTCTCTCAGGAAACAATTGCAAACCTATTGCTTGTTTCAAGATCATTGGTTGAATGAAGAACTTAATTGATATGTATTTTATTATTTCTACTGAACAAATATTGGGGGGGCCATAAAGTTGACCAATGAACTTTCAGCTACCCCTTTTTTCTTTTCTGATGTTCCAGGACAGTGAAAAAAGCATATTCTATCAATTATCTTATAATCTGCTATTGACATAGAACATTACTTTGTCCATTTTGGGAAGGAAAGATCTAAGATTCATAGCAAACCATGATTTCAAAATCAGTTGGGCTGCATTATTTCAGAAAACAATAGAATTGCCATCTTATGATGGTAGTACAGAAATCAGCACCCAGCTGATTTCTTAGTAAGAAAAAAGTGAATCAGAAATCTTTTACTTGCTAGTAAGAATGTGATAACTTCTTTTATTTTTTGCATTCATGCTCATATACATAACAAGCTATACATGATAAATTTTTTTGACAAAACTAAAATCTGTAATTTTGAAATAACAGGGCATAGTAAGCAAGAAAGCTCTATTTCAGTTGTATAGAAATGATTTTTTTTTTGGACTCAGATTTTTTGTTGTTGTTAACAATCCTCTATTTTGGAAATTTTGCCACTTTTCATTTATAAAATATTACTTCTCTCATCCTTTCTTTGGGTTTTTTAAATCTCCCCATCACATTTGATCATGCATATTCATAAATTCACTCATTGTATTAAGGGAATTAATCCTTTTGAATTTAGAAAGACTTAATCTGAGGATTCTCTTGTCAAAGTCCTATTTATCTCTTAAGCACTGTTAGGTATTGGGAGGAAAAATAAAACCTTACTTGCCAATATTGCAATGGATGTAATTTAAGATCAATCCTCAAGCCCATTTACAAATCAGCTTTATTGTCAAAACTATCCATTTGGAACTGTAATGAATATCCATGTATTGTTAGAAACCTTCAATTGTGTGCAGAAATTGCTTGCTTGTTTTAACATTGTGGTTGCAATAAATAGTTACTGAGTCAAAGTTACTTTAGAAATTTAATTACAGAGTTAGAATTCTAAAACCACATATCCCAGACTTGT